CAGCCACGTGCAAAAGATAAAACTGGACCGCTGTCTTACACCGTGCACAAGAACTAACTCAGAATGGAAACACTTGCATATAAGACCTGAAACCATAACATTCCTAGGAGAAAACATAGGAAGTAAGCCTTGACATTGATCATGGCGGTGATTTTTTGCGTTTGACACCAGGAGCAGAGGCAGCAAAAGCAAAAAACAAGTGGGGCTACATCAAACTACAGAGCTTTTGCACAGCAAGGAAACCATCAACAGAATGAAAAGGCAACCTACTAAATAGGAGAAAGTATTTGTAATTCGTACATCTGATAAGGGGTTAATGTCCAAAATATAGAAAGAACTCGTAAATTCAACAGCACAAAAACAAACAGTCCGGTTATAAAATGGGCAGAGGACCTGAATAGACATTTTTGTAAAGAAGATATACAAGTGGCCAACAGACGCATGAAAAGATGCTCCACATCACTAATTATCAGGGAAAGGCAAATCAACACCACGATGAGATCTCACACCTGTTAGAACGGCTATTATCAAAAAGAGAATATATAACAAGTGTTGGTGAGGACATGGAGAAAAGGGAACCCTCATTCACTGTTGGTGGGAATATAAATTGGTGCGGCCATGATGGAAAAGAGTATGGAGTTCCCTTAAAGAAATTAAAAATAGAACTACCATGTGATCCAGCCATTCTGCTTCTGAGTATTTATGTGAGGAGAGCAAAATCACTAACTCAAAAAGATATCTGCACCCCCATGTTCATTGCAGTCTTATTTGTAATAGCCAAGATACGGAAACAACCTCAGTGTCCACCAATGGATGAATGGATGAAGAAGACATGGTATATATACACACACCGTGTAATACTATTTGACCATCAAGAAGCACAAAATCTTAACCTTTATGACAATATGGACGGACCTCGAGGGCATTGTGCTAAGTGAAATAAGTCATACAGGGAAATACCATATGAGCTCACGTACATGTAGAATCTCTATTGAAAAAAAAAGAAGGCTCATGGAGACAGAGAACAGATGGAATGTTGCTTGAGTTGGGGATTGGGAGATAGGTGAAATCGGTAAAGGGTGTCAAGAGGCACAAACTTTCAGTGATAAATAAGTCATGGGGATGTAATGTACAGCATAGTGACTATAGTTAATAATACTGTATTGCAGGGGCACCTGGATGGCTCAGTTGGTTGAGCGCCTGACTCTTGATTTTGGCTTGGGTCATGATCTCATGGTTTATGGGTTCGAGCTCCCTGTTGGGCTCTGCACTGATGGTGCAGAGCCTGCTTGGGATCCTCTCTCTCCACCCCCCCCCCTTTCTGCCTCTCCCCCACTCATGCTCTGTCTGCCTCTCAAAAAAGAATAATGTATTGAATATTTTAAAGTTGCTAAGAGAGTGAATATTAAAAGGTCTTATCACACACAAAAAAACCTGTAACTATGCTGACAAATATTGTTTGTGGTGATCATTTTGCAATATATATAAATATTGAATTTTTTTTTTTTCAACGTTTATTTATTTTTGGGACAGAGAGAGACAGAGCATGAACGGGGGAGGGGCAGAGAGAGAGGGAGACACAGAATTGGAAACAGGCTTCAGGCTCTGAGCCATCAGCCCAGAGCCCGACACGGGGCTCGAACTCACGGACCGCAAGATCGTGACCTGACTGAAGTCGGACGCTTAACCGACTGCGCCACCCAGGCGCCCCTATAAATATTGAATTATTATGTTTTATACCTGAAATTAAGATAATGTTTGTCAATTATTCCTTCATTAAAAAAAATCTTTGCCCATTAAAAAAATTGTATTGTCTTTTCATTACTTGAGAAACTCTTAATGTATCTGATACGAATTTTTATTAGATATATAATTTGCAAATATTTTCTTCTAGGCTTCGGCTTGCGTTTTTTGTTTTTTGTTTTTTGTTTTTTTTTTTTTTGGTTTCTGAAGCACAGAAGTTTTTAAATTTGAGAGAGTCCAATTCGATTTCTTCTTTTATGGTTTGTGCTTTTGGTGTATAGCTAAGTACACATTGCCCGGCCCAAGGTCATAAAGATTTCCTTCTATATGTATATATATTTTTAAATTTTTTTAATGTGTATTTATTTTTGAGACAGAGAGACAGAGCGTGAGCGGGGAAGGGGCAGAGAGAGAGGGAGACACAGAATCTGAAGCAGGCTCCAGCCTCTGAGCTGTCAGCATAGAACCTGGTGCCTGGTTCAAACTCACGAACTATAAGATCATGACCTGAGCCAAGGTCGGACGGCCAACCGACTGAGCCACCCAGGTGCCCCTGTATTTTCTTCTAGAGGTAGTAGAGTTTTGGCTCTTATATTGAAGTCTCTGATCCATTTGGACTTAATATTTATGTATGGTATAAGATTTAGATTGAGGTTTATTTTTTGCTGATTGTGCCGAAAAGAGTTATCAGAGCAGGCCTGAGACAGCTATCCTTAGAAAGCCTGTTTGCAAGGTTGTCCCTTGGCCGGTGTCTGCAGACTTAATTTCAGGATAGTTCCCACCGTTTCCAGAACTGATAAGAATGGTTCACTGTGCCTGAGCTGTTTGCACAAACAGTGTTGTTTCTGCTGGATACCTGCTTTCCTTCTGGGAGTCTGGAATTTTGGAACATGCTAGACAGAAGTGCCTACCTGACCAGTCCCTGGTAAAAACCTGGGGCACTATGTCTCAAATGAGCTTCCTTAGTAGACAGCATTTCACACGTGTTGTCAAAACTCTGCCAGAGGAATTAAGTGTGTCCTTTGTGAGAATCCTGGGAGAGAGGACTCTTAGCAGCCTGTGCCTCCAGACCTTACCCCATGCACCTTTCCCTTTTGCTGTAATAAATCACAGCCTTGAGTACAACTCTATTGAGTCCTGTGAGTCCTTCTAGTGAATCCCTGAATGTGGGGGTGGTCTCGGGGACACGGACATACCTAAGGATGTCCAATTGCTTCAGCACTATTTTGTTGAAAAGACTGTCTTTTCTCCTTTGAAATGTCTTGTCATCTTTGTCAAAATCAATTGACCATAAATGTAAGGATTTATTTCTGGATTCTATTCTGTTCCATTGCCTAGCTTTATGCCACTGCTACATTATCTTGATTGCTGTGGATTTATAGTAAGTTTTAAAATCCTATAGCATAAATCCTCCAACTTTGTTCTTCTTTGGCTCTTAGGTCCTTTGCATTTCCATATACATTTTAGGATCAGCTTGTCAATGTCTACTAAAAAGCTTATGGGTTTTGTTTTTGTTTTTTGAGAGAGAGAGAGAGAGAGAGCGAGAGAGAGCGCACTTGCAGGGGAGGGGCAGAGGGAGAGGGAGAGAGAATTCTACACGCACTCCAGGTTCAGCACAGAGCCTGATACAGAACTGAGTCTCATGAACTGTGAGATCATGATGTGAGCTGAAATCAAGAGTCAGATGCTTAACCAGCTGACCCAGCCAGGCGCCTCAGCTCTTGGGGTTTTGATTGGAACTGCATTGAATTGATAGATCAATTAGGGAGAATTGACATCTTGACGATAGTGAATCTTCCAATCCATAAACACGGTGTCTCTCCAATTAATATGCACTGCTTTGTGGTTTTCAGGGCACAGATCTTACGCTTCTTTTGTGAAATTTATTCCAAAGTATTTTTACTTTTTGATGCTAACGTGAATAAAATTGTTTTCTGAACTTCGTTGTAAGAGTGCTCACTGCTGGTATGTAGCGATAGAATTGATTTTTGCATATTGAATTGTATGCTGTGACCTTGCCGAATGTATTAGTTCTAGTATTTTGTGAATGCCTTGGGATTTTCTATATACAAGATTATGTCATCTGTGAGTAAAGACAGTTTTCCTTCTTCCCTTCCAATCCAGAGGCCTTTAATTTCTTTATTTACCTATTGCCGCTGGCTTGAGCCTCCAGTAGAGTAGTGATTAGAAGTGGCAAAAGCGAACACTGTTGCCTTGTTCCTGATCTAATTGAGAAAGCACATCTTTCACCACTAAGTATGATATTAGCTTTGTTTTTTTCATAGATGCCCTTTATCAAGTTTTGTAAATTTTCTTTTATTCCTAGTTTGGTGAGAATTTTTATCATGAATCTGTGTTAGACTTTATCACATGCCCTTTTTTTTTTTTTCTGCATCTGTTGAGATGACCATGTGTTTTTTATCCTATAGCCTATTATTATAGTATGTTACATTAATTGATTTTCAGATAGTAAACCAACCTTGCAGGGGCGCCTGGGTGGCTCAGTCGGTTAAGCATCCGACTTCGGCTCAGGTCATGATCTCACGGTTTGTGAGTTTGAGCCCCGCGTCAGGCTCTGTGCTGACAGCTCTGAGCCTGGAGCCTGCTTTGGATTCTGTGTCTCCTTTTCTCTCTGCCCCTCCCCAACTTGTGCTCTCTCTGTGTCTCTCAAAATATAAATAAATGTAAAAAAAAAATTTTTTTTAAACCAACCTTGCAATCCTGGGATAAATCCCACTTGGTTATGGTATATAATTGTTGTTATATGTTGCTAGGTTCGGTTTGCTAATATTTTGTTGAGGATTTTTGCATATATATTCATGTAGGATATCAGTCTGTTGTTTTGTTTTCTTGTGGTGTCTTTCTCTGGTTTTGGGTCAGGGTAAAACAAGACCTCATAGAATGAGCTGGGAAATGTTATCTTAGCCATTTCCTTTCAAGGGGGTAGTTTATGGTCTTTTATGAGTGGCTGGGAGCAGTTCTCTTTTGTCTTCTCAAAGCTGATTCTTCACAGGGATGTCTTAAGATTCATGTCTGGCAGCTCAGTTTATCATCGATGTCCCAGATCCATTTACTGGCAGGTGTGGCTCAGGATGGGCCAGGTGCTGAGCATCTCTGAGACCTCTTATCTGATCACATCTGGTGCTCACATCTGCAAGTGAACCCTCAGGACGTCCCTATGGGGTTTGGGAGGTCTGCTCACTCGGCAGTGGGGCACTTGGGCTGAAGGCACTTTCCTCCCTCTTCTCTTCTAACAGAGCAGCTACGAACCAGAAGGTGCGGGAGCAGGTGCGCCTGGAACTGAGCTTCGTGAACTCAGATCTACAGATGCTCAAGGAAGAGCTGGAGGGGCTCAACATCTCAGTGGGAGTCTATCAGAGCACAGAGTAAGTGGGGGCACTGATTCTTCCAGATACTTTCTGAGCCTTAGAACGTGCTGCAACAGGGATGGTGCCCAGATAGACCCAAGGGTGTGGCAGACCCCACTTTGGGAAGAGAGGGATTGATCAGTTTGAGGTTTGAGCGTGATGCAGGAGTCACAGGGACGAGCCTATGGAGTTTGTTGGAAATGCCTGCAGAGTGGGACAGAAAGGCATTCAATTGTCCTAGGACCGTTGGGACATAGTTTTATGGGAGAGCTGTGACTGGGTCCAGATGAAGAGACAGCATCTCTCACGTGGCTCTGCCATAAAGATGGCCTGGAGGCACTTCTGTGGTTGGCCTGGAGAGCCAGCCCACCGGGTGGGGCCACCCTGCCCTCTTCCCTCTCAGCCTCTTCACCCCACACAGGGCCTGCCTGGGTCGTTCCATTGGTAGGATGCAAAAACAGACAAACTGCTTGACAGGGATCACTTACATCAAAGATTAGGGGACCCAGGTGAGTTGGCATGGCAACTGAGAGACTTCAGAAACGTACCCTGTTAAATACTTGAGAGATGAACGACCTAATTCAGGAGCCTCCCCGCAGGGAGTGTTTGTGGGAGGTGCAGTATTGAGGGGCAGACCTCAGAAAAAGCTCAGAACGTCTCCCCAAGGTGAGCTACCTTTGAAAGACATGTCCATCTTGGAGGAAAAATAACCTTGAGGAGCTGTGCGGGGACATGAGGCTTCTCAAAAGGCAGGCGAGCGCCCGGGGAATCTCAGTCAGAAAATAGTATGTGGATTAACAAAAGGATGGCATTTGGGAACCTTGAGTCACCTTTGGAATGTGCTTTTCCTGACTGTCCCCAGTCCTCTGTGTGGTATGTGGGTGTTTTTCAGAACCAGAGGGAAGGCATTAGTGTGTGAACCCTCTGTTCTTCCTTCTGTGACGTCCGGAGCCCTGGCTCGGTCACCTGTGGGCCCCCGTGTGGGTTTGAGCACCTAACCACAGCAGCAGATGAGAGGCTTCTCCCAGCCTATGCTGTGGTATTAAATTCCAGTGTTTTGCCCAAAGGTCGACGTTCCCTGAGTAAGGAGGGCAGGGCCAAACTGGGCTGATAAACGTAGGGATGTTTCGTATTCCTGCCTGCGGTACCAGACCGCAGGGATGTATCCCACAGAGACAGGCACTTAAGGCCCCTGTGTGATTACAGTGTGGCTCTACAGCGGCCAGTTGTTTCCCTGTGCCATCAGGGACTGGGGAGAGAGTGCAGGTGTCACAAGGACGCCTTGCATTTGCACCCGCCCCCTTCCTGTTTTCTTTTCTTTTCTTTTTTTTTTTTATTTTTTTTTTTAAATTTTTTTTTTCAACGTTTTTTATTTATTTTTGGGACAGAGAGAGACAGAGCATGAACGGGGGAGGGGCAGAGAGAGAGGGAGACACAGAATCGGAAACAGGCTCCAGGCTCTGAGCCATCAGCCCAGAGCCTGATGCGGGGCTCGAACTCCCGGACCGCGAGATCGTGACCTGGCTGAAGTCGGACGCTTAACCGACTGCGCCACCCAGGCGCCCCCCCCTTCCTGTTTTCAAAGCAGATTGTTTCTTTCTTAGCGCCATTGATCTTTAAGCATTTCTGCGGGGCAGAACAGGAAGAAACAGTCTCGCTGGGCAGAGGAGAAAACACGAGGAGGCTGGAGGTCATGGAGAAAGTTATGTTAGCACAAGGTTGGGACTGGGGTGCCCTGGCTGCTCCGGGGAGGTCATGGGGAGCACAGCCCTCGCCTCCAGGCCTAGTGGGGTGAGGGTAGGAGGGCGTTGGGGCCCAGAGGACAGAGGCATGGCCCATCCACAACCCCCGTCCAGCAGGGTCTGGCTTTCCCAGTGGGCTTTGAGGAAGCCAGGCACCCCCACGGTGGGATCCCACCTGCTTTTAGCACAGCCGGTGGTTTCCCCTCAGCCACAGAGGCAGTTTCAGCTTACAGCTGCATTGTCCACTCACCCTACCATGCATTCCTGGCCTTTTCCCCAGCTGGGCTGAGCGGCCCCAGGAGGTCTCTGGTTACAGGTCAGGGAGCTAAATCTCTGTTTGCAAAACACAGCCCGAGCCCCCTACACTCCCTTTTGGCTCTGTCCCTGTCCCTCAGAATGTAGGTTCAGGGCACACTCCCAGGGCGACCTATGGGGAAACTGAGTGGTCAGTTGTGGGGGAGTACTGTGGGGGGCAGGCAGCCGACCAGGGTGTGACCCTGGGCCTGGAGCTGGGTGTACTTCGGTGTCAGAAAGGGCCCTTGCCCTCAAGGCTTTCCCCATGCAGGTGATGGGACCCTAGAGGGATTCTCCCCATCAGAAGAGGCTCCTAAGAGTCCAGGTGGGACCTGCCCTGGTGAGGAAAGGAGGAGGAGAAGGGAGGGGTTGGGAGCTGATGGAGGAGGTGCATTGATTGGCAGGGTGGTACGCCCAGGTCGGGAGCAGTGCCTGCATCAGGCACAGACCTGCCACACAGGAGGTCCCCATAGTCACTGAAGGAACAGGTCAAAATGGTAGGCCCCCGTGTGTTAGGCTGGGTAGTGCAGAAGTCACAGGCCGCTGGGATTGGGTTTAGACCAGAGACAGGTATGTGATCACAGTCATCTTTATGGAGTATGAACCGGCATGGGGATGTGGTGGGGCCCTGAGCTGGACCAGCATGGGGACCCACGTGGTGGGCCCTGAGCTGGGCTGCTGGGTGCATAGCACCCGGGACCGGGATGTTCATATACCTTGCTGTGTTCCTTCTAGGGAGGCATTTACCATCCCCCTGATTCCACTTGGTCTGAAGGAAACCAAGGATGTTGACTTCTCAGTCGTTCTCAAGGTAAATCTCAAAGCCATGGGGACTTGACTCAATGTTTACAAAGAAAAACTAGAAGTTGTGTATCCCTTGCAAGTGGCCGTAGGCTCAGTGGGCCAAGTGTTAGTTGATTTCTGCAGGATGCCTCCAGACCCCTTCAGCAAGCCAGAGAATGCTGTGCTGTTCTCCTGTGTCCTCCGGCTGTCTCTGGTTCCCTCCGAGGCTCGGGGCCCCGGGAAGGCGAGTTAGAAACCTGGGCCTACCCTCCCCAGGAGGCCAAGCCACAGAGGGTCCATGGAGGATGTGCTTTGGAGTTTAAAAATTGTATCCTGTATTTTTTCTTAAACATGGCCTAAATTGGTTATGAAATTTATGGAGAACAGCTAAATTTCCCCCCAACGTTTTATTCCAAAAATTTCTAAACTTCTAGAAAAACTGAAAGAATTTGGCAGTGAATCCGCATATACTCACTACCTAGATGAACATTTTGCTTTTATGACATGTTTGTCCATCTATGCATCCCTGTATCTACATACCAATCCACCTTGAATAGCTAGAATTTATGGGTTTTTTTCCCTCTATCGAATTACTGGGGATCCAGCTGCATCTTCTCTTTCTTTTTCTTCCTTCCAATCTCTCTCCCTTTAAAAAAATTTCTTCCCCTTCTTTTTAAAAAGTAACAGCTTAACCCCCCCCCCACACACACACACACAGTATCTGGCCTCCTCTTAATTGTGGGGGTCCCTGGTAAGCAGCTGTTACCTGTAGGCCCATCTGCGCCTATCGCTGTGCTGGATGCTGGTGATGTCACAGGTCTTGAGTTCCAGGTCTGTGGCTCAGTGGAGATTTCAGGTGGGAAGCGGAACAGGTGCTTTGACAGAGGCCCCCAGAGCTGCCTTACCCCTGTCCAGGGCCAAGAGAGGCCTCCCATGTCTGGAACGCCCTCCTCTTCCTCCCCTCCCTGGCTCCATCACTCTGAGTTTTAATGAATCACCCCCAACGTTCATTTAGGAGGAGAAAGGGGAAATGGGGTGGAAGGTAGTGCCTGTCTCTGAGCTCTCCAACACAGGCATGGTGGAGGGCAGTTAACCCCAGCATTGTGAAAAATACTGCTGAGTGTTGCATTTCTTTTCATAGTAACTCTTGTTAGTTGGCTCATCTTGGACTACTTTCAATTTAGGAAAGAAAAAATGATCATATGCATTTTGGGCACTATGAAATGTGTCCTTTTAAAAGCAATTGGTTAATGCTTCAAGAGCTTCTGCACTTGACATCCATTCTGGAGCAGAGACCGTAAGTCTCCTGACTTAAGCTCTTTCACTTAGGGCCTTGTTGACTGCTCCCTTGTTTATACCCAGGTCCTGGTCCCTGTCAATTTGGGGTTTATTTTGGCGTTTGAGAAGGGACATTGGTAGCCGTACAAGACTCAGGATCACCCAAGGTTTGATTTTCTGGCTAGAAAACAACCCAGGAGCTGCAGCTTTATGTCAGCTATGTAGAGGCCACCTGAACTTCTAGATGGGACACTTGTCACACGTCTGTGAGACTCAAGACAATCTTTATGTCTGTGGAAATGTGTTTGGGTGCCTTTGTGGAATAGTTTCTTTAAGATTTAGTTTGTTGCTTGGATCCAGGGTGGCAAGGGCACAGGCATTTTAGAAGGAGACTCTTGGAGACACTTGGGGATTTTATGGAATCTGTAAGGATCCAACCATGTCACGTGCTGAATCCCACATTAAACTCAGTGGGGGAAAAAAAAAATCACATGTGGCCATGGCCAACTGCTATTCAGCTGAGGCTTCCAACCATGTCATTTTAACCTCAAAGGGACTCTTCAGATGTCAGGCATACAAGAATGAGAACATTTGGGGACGTTCTGTTTTCTCCTTTCCACATTTGTCCCTGAGACTCACACAGACAGGTGCTGCAGAAGCACTTGGGCCGACTTAATGAGGGCAGTTCAAAGTGTGGGCCGCCTTGTACCTCCCTGTGTATCTGTGGGGCGTTTAATGGCCAGTAAAACTTCATGGTGTGATTTCGTTCTATTTTTAAATACATGGGCTTTCAAACGGCCTCATTTGAAGACACCATCAAAATAAATTCCTTTTCCAGAGAATTCAAGTTGTTTGTTTTGGGTGGTTTTTTTTTTTTTTTTTTTTTTTTTTTTTTTTTTTTTTGGCCTCTAAATATAGCTTTATTTATTTATTTATGTTTATTAAAAACAGTACTGCAGAACATTCAGAAAAATACCAAGGCATGAAAAGATCCCTCCCAGCCCTACCCCGCCGTGTCCCCACTGAGCTTGGTAACCTGCTCAGCACTTAATCTTTGGACACTGGGGCTGTTCCTCCGGTCAGGGGCCTGACTCATGAAGGTGTGTGACTCCCCCCACTCCCCTCCGTCATGACTTCACGTGGTGTCTGCTTATAGAAGGCAAGGTGGCTATTAATCTCATGCTTCAGGCAGCTTCCAAATGCTCGCTGTTGTCAGCGGCTCTCCACTGAGCATTTGCACACTTCACCGGATGTTCTCTTTGGACAGATTTTTAGATACGGATTTGGTCGGTGGGAGATCCGTATTACCCACTTACCCACCAGAAGCGGTCCTGCCTTACACTCCTACCGACTGTGCGTGACTGCTTATCTTCCTGCACTTTAGGTCACCCTGGGCAGCATTCACCATTTTGATTTTTTTATGCTATCTTTGTGATCTTTGTGAAATCGGGCAAAATAAGAACATATTACAGTTTACATTTCTCAGGTCGGTACTTGAGTTGAATGCGTGTATGGTTTGGGGTTGGGTTTTCTGTTTTTTGTTTTGTTTTGTTTTGAGTTTATTTATTTTGAGAGAGAGAGAGAGAGAGCATGCACAGGCGGGGGAGGGGCAGAGAGAAGAAGAGACAGAGTCCCAAGCAGTTCTGCACTTATTAGCACAGAGCCCAATGTCGGGCTCATGATCATGACCGGAGCTGACATCAAGGGTTGGACGTTTAACCGTTTGAACCACCCAGGCGCCTCTCCTGTATGTTTATTTTCCCTTTACACTTTCCCTTTCAAATCAACTGTTGCTGCCCTTTGTCTGCTTTTCCAGTGTGCTTTTATTTCTTACAAGAGATCTTTTACATATGAAGGATATTAACCCTTGGTTTTATATATATTGCAAATGTTTCTCTCAGTACATTCTCTCCTTAATTTAACTTTTGTTATCCAAGCAATAACCAGCTTAAAAAATATAACATATATATTTCTGCCTGTAGGATTTTATGTCGATGAACTTACCAGCCCTTCCCTTTACAGTTCCGCCTTGATAGCGTGTTCGGAAAGCACCCTCCACGCCAAGATGGCCTAAATATTTTGCCATTGTTTCCTCCAGTGTCTTGTTTAAATGTTTTCACATCACATCTTTAATCTATTTGGAATTACTTTGGGAGTAAAAAATGAGGTATAGGGCTGTAGCTTTTTATTTAAACCAAATGGGTAGTCAGTTTCCCCTGAACTCTGTGAAGAAGCCATCTGTGGTGCTGGATGGTGTCTGTTTCTCCCCATGCCCCCCCCCCCCCTTCCACCCTTCTCAGTCCTGCTCTGTGCCTGGGAGGCCACAACAGGCTCCTGCTCTGTGGCTTCTTGTTGCCTGTGGCTGGGTGGGGGGGGGGGGGCACCGAGAAGTTCGGGCATTTATTCTCCAGGCTCCTTCAGCCGGCCTCCTTTTTTTCATTCCCAGAGGGAAGGTCCTGGTGGCTTTGGGTGCCTACCTCAGGTAGCCAGCCACCTCTCTGGGTTTCCAGAGCTCCTTCCCTACCCTGACCCTTTAGCTCTGCGGTTCCAATGGCCCTGGAGGTTCCACACCATCCCTGCGGTTTCCCTTAACCCTGCCCACACCCCTGTATTAGCCCTTTGCTTCAATTCACATCGGCCTGCAGTCTGTGTGTGCCATGCCACTTCCTTCCCGTCTGGACCTGCTGGCTGCTCCAGCCTTTCCCACTCCTGTGAAACGCTGGCTTCTGTTATACACCTGATTCTCGAATCTCCTTCCCTCTGTTTCTGATCCGTGCCTGGTTTCATTGTCTATCCATTGCTCACAGTTTAATCCCTGTGTGTTTTAACAGCACTTAGAGCAAGCCTCTTTTGTTAACTATGCTCTTCCAAATGTTCTTGGCTTTTCTTCCACATTTTTACTCCCATGTTTTGTCAAGTTTCCCCAAAATAGCACTTTGGGGTTTTGATTGAAACTTCATTTAGATTCATAGCTTAATTAGGACAAAATTGTATCTTTACAATATTGCACATTTTCATCTATGAACCAAATATTTCTAATTGTTGATGTCAACAAATAGCGAGTTTTACAGGGGCAGAGACCATGTCTGTCTGATTTTAAAAAATGATTTAATGCTTGCCATTTGCAACAACATGGGTGCATTTGGAGAATATAATGCTACGTGAAGTAAGTCAGAGAAACACAAATACCATATGATTTCATTCATATGTGGAATTTAAGAAACAAACGAAAAAAGACAAAAAACCCAGACTCTTAATAGAGAACAAACACGTGGTTCCCAGAGGGCAGGTGGGTAAGGGGGTGGGCAAAATTTTATCCCTGGGAATATTGTACTTTTCTTGATCTGGTACAGTTGGGAAGATATGGTTTCCCTGTTACATTTTTTCTAACAGGTTATGGCTTGTATTAGAAAGGATTTATACATAGTAACTTTTTGTCCCTTTCACTGGATGCCTGCTAGTTTAGGAGTTTTTCAGTTGAAGCTCTAGGTTTTGTAAATAAGGCATTATTTTTGGAAAAAAAAAATTGTTTTTTCCTTTCTAATGTTTGTCTTTATTTGTTAACTTTCAGAATTATGTTATATAAATAGAATGATGTTATATAATCCTGTCTTATCCCTGATGTTTACAGTGGGTTCCAGCCAGATTTTAAAAAATTTTTTTGTTAAAATGTTTATTTATTTTTAAGAGAGAGACAGAGTGCGAGTGGAGAAGGGGCAGAGGGAGAGGGAGACAGAATGTGAAGCAGGCTTTCAGCTGTGCTGACAGCTCAGAGCCTGGGGCTCGAACCCACCAGGCGTGAGATCATGACCTGAGCCAAAGTCAGAGGCTTAACCGACTGAGCCACCCAGGCGCCCCCCCCCCCTTTTTTTAGAGAGCGTGTGGGGGAGAGGGACAGAAGGGGGAAGGGGAAGAGACAGAGAGAGGGAGAGAGAATCTTAAGCAGGCTCCACACTTAGTGCAGTGCCTGACACGGGGCTCCATCCCATGACTCTGGAATCATGACCTGAGCCGAAATCAACTGAATGAGACCCACAGGTGCCCCTAGATATTTTTTCTTCTACTTAGTAAATTTAATCTCACCTAGGAATGCATTTAGAATTTACCAAAACTCTCTTTGACTTCTGTGAGGTTAACATAAAGTTTGTAATTTCTCTCCTAATTTTAAGAACATTTTTGCCATGGGACACCTGGGTGGCTCTGTCAGTTGAACATCTGGCTCTTAGTTTCAGCTCAGGTCGTGATCTCACAGTTTGTGGGATCGAGCCCTGCTTGGGATTCTCTCTCTCTCCCTCTCTCTCTGTCCTTCCTCCCATTCGCGTATGTGCGCGTGCGCAGTCTCTCTCTCTCTCTCTCTCTCTCTCTCTCTCTCTCTCTCAAAAATAAATAAACATTTAAAAAAGAAAAAGAAAATTTTTGCCAGCATCCGTAGCAGAAGTTGGGGCACCCGGGTGGCTCAGTAGGTTAAGCGTCTGATTCTTGGTTTCGGCTCAGGTCATGATCTCACGGTTTGTGAATTTGAGCCCCACATTGGGCTCTGTGCTAACAGCGCAGAGCCTGTCTGGGATTCTCTCTCTCCCTGTCTCTCTGCCCCTCCCCTGCTTGCTCGTTCTCTCTTTCTTTCAAAATAAATAAATTAATTAATTAAAAAAGAAGAAGAAGTTGACAGAACAGTGTGCTGTTCTGAAAAGGATGCAGTTTTTCTCAGCCCTGAGCATCTCGAGTGGTGACCCGAACAGTGTTTTCGGAGATGTCATCAGAGACATCCAGATCATTTTTGCCATACTGAACATCACTAATAACATAATTATGGTGGAGAATCCTTTCAAATTTTACAAACGGTCATTACATTAGGAGAGGAGCCGATTCCAAATATCAGCACTTTAAGTTGTAAAAAAAAAAATCTGTGACAGATTTCATACATTGAAAGGAAAACTTAGGTAAGAAAGACCAAATTGAAAAACAGAAGGAGCAGGTGCCTGGGTGGCTCAGTCGGTTGTGCATCCAAGTTTGGCTCAGGTCACATGACCTTACAGTCATGAGTTTGAGCCCCACGTCAGGCTCTGTGCTGACAGCTCAGAGCCTGGAGCCTGCTTCAGATTCTCCTGTGTCTCCCTAATCTCTCTGCCCCTCCCCTGCTCATGCTGTGTCTCTCTCTCTTTCTCTCTCTTTCAAAAATAAATAAACGTTAAAAAAAAATTAAAGAAAAAAAAACAAGAAAAGAAAAACAAGGAGCTTCTGCATATCCCTGGACCCAGCAAGACATTTCAAAATGTATGCTGAGGAGCTAACAAGAGGTGTGCGGGAG